AGGGGGGGGGGGGGGGGGGGGGGGGGGGGGGGGGGGGGGGGGGGGGGGGGGGGGGGGGGGGGGGGGGGGGGGGGGGGGGGGGGGGGGGGGGGGGGGGGGGGGGGGGGGGGGGGGGGGGGGGGGGGGGGGGGGGGGGGTGGGGGGGGGGGGGGGGGGGGGGGGGGGGGGGGGGGGGGGGGGGGGGGGGGGGGGGGGGGGGGGGGGGGGGGGGGGGGGGGGGGGGGGGGGGGGGGGGGGGGGGGGGGGGGGGGGGGGGGGGGGGGGGGGGGGGGGGGGGGGGGGGGGGGGGGGGGGGGGGGGGGGGGGGGGGGGGGGGGGGGGGGGGGGGGGGGGGGGGGGGGGGGGGGGGGGTGGTGTGTGGTAGGGCCTTACAAAGTTAGATACCACTTAAATTCTTATTTTCAGATTTTCTGAAGATAAAGTCAGTTCAGCAATCTGTTCTAGAGCATTTCTGAACAAACAGCATCTTATGACTTACTAAGGCGTTGACCTTTCCTTATGTGCTGCTTTCTGGTTTCTTCTACTGACCCACACAGTTATTTTATGTTTATGTTGGCTTAGGTGTGATTTATGTGTCTTATTTGTTGATTATGTCTATTTAAAACAATAGAGAAAAGGAGACCATCTTTTCAAGGATATTTTATCCGTGAAGGAGAAGTACCTGATGGCCACAACATGGACAGTTGAAGAAAAAGCTCAGGAGGCAGACAAGGTGTTCACCTTGCATCCTTGGATCTACTCTTGCTTTTCCTTTCCATATATTTCTGTCCACAGCCACAGATATTCTTTTTTTTCCTTATGTGTCATCCTAAGTTTTTTTTTTTAAATGATTTTTGAGTGTTTAAAAAGTTAAACTCATGAGTAGAGGCATATGATCTTTGGGTGAGGAAACACCATATTCTATAAGCACTCTATTTCAAAATTCAAAAACCAGAAATATCAACCAGTTTAGGTGGTAAGTGATTCCTAATTTGATATATGTAACTGACGTTGGGAAACTAATTTCATATGAAAATGCACTGGACAACACTGTGGTGCTGTTAAAATAACAAAAGTACATGTGCTATATAGGTTACCAGTTTACTAATCACATTATGGAAACCTTTTGAATTTTCATTTTAAGGTTTTTATTAGAAAAAGATATTTTGATGCACCATAGCAGCCTCTCATCTCTGCCTCTGTGTGTATGGAATGCCTGACATTAGTCAGGAAGCTAGTTTCCCATTGCCTAAACATTCTCATTCTTTGCTTAGCCAGCAGGTCAGCCTGGAGGGAGGGCTTAGACTAGTGGAAGAGATAACAGATATGTACATTGGTAATCTGACGATTTCAAGGATTGTGAAGTGTTAGGAAGGTAAAATATTATGTTGTGTTAGAAGGGAATTGGGAAGGGCCAGAAGGAGATGGCATTTGAGTTGAGGCCTTAATGATAAGGAGGTAGTGCTATGAAGAGTTTTCCATATGTAAGGAAGAACAAGTGCAATAGCTTAGGACCAGACCTAGTTTAAGGAACTGAAATACCAAATGACAAGGGCTTAGTGAACAAGAAAAGCACAAAGGGAGGAAAGAGGTCAGACCCCAAGTAACATCAGCAACTTAAAGACTCATAGTTTAGAATTACAGGAGCGATGGAAGTCATTGGAAATTTTTTTAAGGTGATTAGTGATATAATCTTATACGTGTCAAACAAATTCCTCTGTCACTGGATAAGGGACTGAATGAGAACAGGGACAGTAATAAGAAAAAAGTATTTCCCCTCCATAAAGTAGACAAGAGTATCCATTAGAATGTTCATGGAAATTCCCTCAGGACTTCGAGGTCTAGTTGAGATGGAATATTTGCAGAACACTGCAGATGAGAGACATCATGTCATAGAGTCAAGCACATGGCTTATTTATATACTTTAAAGGTCAGCCCGAAATCCACAGCCGGTTAGCGCATGTGCGTAATAAGAACTTGAATATCATATTCCTTGAAACGCTGTGTATTTTAAGCTCTGTCTTCCAGAAGCAGGTCAGTTGGCATTATTTGATCACACTTCAAGTGATGTTCTTGGGCTTCTTGCAGGAGGAGACTGGAATTTGGTGACATTTAAAATGACCATTTTTCTGGATCTCATGGTTTAGGAGTACACAATGTGAAATATCTTGTAGAAGTTAGAGTAAAGTGATGTTACAGCAAAAGTGCCTAGATAGTTCATCTGAACTTGAAGTCACTGCACTTTCTGGACTGTTCCTCTCTAACACGTGCAGGAAAATACATACTTGTTAGACATACACATAGATTGCTCTAACTACAATTATTTTCATGCATTGACCCAAGAAATACTTATTGATCACCAACATTGTATATTTTTCAAGTAGCTTATCACTACTATTAACTGAAAATACATGAACAGTTGATTCTACTGGAATGTTTTGAATTTAACAAAATACCTTTTCAACTTCTGTGTTTATTATACCTGTCTTTTGTTACTGATTTTTTTCAGGATTTTTTATCTTTGAATTATAATCCTTACAGAAATGCAAAATAAAGAGCTAAATAAATGACTAAAATTTCCAAATTCCTGTACTGTTGGTTTTATAGATTTTGAAAAAGCAGTAGTAGTTTCTTGCTTAAAAAAACATACTGAACTTTCAAAATGTCTTTGACTTAAATATGAACAATTTTGAGAGTAGAATAGAAAATTGGAATCGTTTTGTCTTTAATAAGTAAATAACTGTTCTCATGTATTTTAAGAATTATGACAACCTGTATGAAGTATTCTCTCATGAGCCTAATAGGGATCATGTAGACTGTAGTTTTAAGGCACTTTTGAATATATTTTATTTAGTAATTCAATGCATGGCACTTATTTTAATTCCCCATTGGTGTCTTACTGGGAGTGGTCCTTCCTCCCTCCTCCTCCCCCCCCTCCCCCCATCCCCTGGGAGAGAAGGGGGGAGGTGTAATGTTGGGATTTGTAACTGAGATGGATTGTCCAGAGGCACTTTTTAATTTTTTTTATTATTACAAGTGCTTACCCACCTCCCCCATTTCACCCGTCTTAGCTTACTATCTGAGGGGCATCTTGCAAATGTCATGCATTTGTTTTTTCTTTAAGATCTTTGATGAGTGGAGTTTATTAAGAATTATTCTACCATTCTGACTTGAGGGGAACTTCATGGTGACTCTTCAGTGGCACTCCAGGTTTCTGAGGACTTATCTCAGCTTTCCTGATGTCCCTTAGGCAGGTTAGGAGCCATTGTTTTAAGGGCCAGAAATGTCAGTGTTAATTTGCCTTAATGGTTTTTAGGAACTAGTGATTTTTTTACATTGCAGGTGGAGTTTTCAGCCCTGGGTTTGTCCTTTTCTTGTTTCTCTTTGCCAAGAAAACAAGCAAAACCACAGTATTTTCATTCCATGGCATACTTAGCATGTCTGAGGGAATTACTGTATGTTGCAGTCAAGAGTGTTTCTTGTACAAAGTCATATGCTTAAGAGATTATAGGAGCTCAGGTGGTTATGGAAGGCCCTACACAGAATATGGACTAACTGGGCCTCAGAGAGATGGCAAAATCAGAAAAGCCAGAGTGCATAGAGATGGGCATTGCAAGCAGGAAGATAGATCACCCAGATTTTAGCACAGGAAGAAGCATTTCAAGTGTAAGGGACACTAAAGAGGCCATTCTATACAGGAGAAGGCCAATGAGCTAGCTCAGGAATATGTGAAATAGTATTTGATGGGTAAGAAGGTTGTGCATAGTGATAAAGTCTCAGTGATAAATTAAGAGTTTTAGCTAGTTTCTGTACGTTATAGCTAACAAAGTGGTAAAGCAAGGTGGAAAAGCTGGCATTTAGGTAAACTTCCGCCTAAGCCTGCTGCAGAATCTTCACAATCTTCTCATCTTCTATTTTATTTTATGCTGTTCTGTTATTCTTTCATATGTAACCTTTCCTTTCTTTCAATAGGTCACTACTGTCTTTTCTGATGTGTTGTTAATTCTTTGCTCTTCCTTTTCTGACCTCTCTAGAGCCTAGAAGAGGAGATAACATCAATTTTGTTTAGTGGAAAGGGCTTTTTTGATAACATGAAAGCCTCCTTCCCCTCAACCATCACATGGACAGCAGAGGGTGCTGTTGTGAGCTCTAAAGCACCCTCTAGAGAAAAGCTTTCCTCCTCGCTCTTCTCACACTTGCCTGAGGTGCATTTTACTTTGTTTCCCCTGTTACTAAAAGCCCATAAGAGTGATTTTCATTTTTTGGTTACTAAGGCACTTTTCCCACCAGTGCTTTCATTGGTAAAATTAACCCTCCCTGGGAGAAACATTCAAGAAATGATGAATTTGGACATGAGGAAATGAAATAGGTTGGATGTTTCTCTTACTTCTTTTGGTCAAAAAACTGCTTGAATTCAAAGAACCATTTTAAACTATTAAGGCCCAGAGTTGTAGCTGTTAAGTGAAAAGAAAGTTGCAGCCAAGCAGAAGCTAAGCATGCTTTGTAGAACTAAAGTTTTTAAAACCTAGATTCCAAGCATTTTCTGATGGTTTGTTATTTTTAAAGTTCTATTTATATGGGAAAACTTAAAGTGCCCTCTGTAATTGTTTTTGAATGACCCCAAGGGATTCCCTAAATTTGGAAGAACCCATCCCACCATTTGAGGTTAAGTAATAATTCACTGACCTGTAATAATCTTGCAACTTTTTTAGAAGTGTTGCTCACTTGATACCTTTATTTATAAAGGATTTCATAAATAATTATAGTTCTCTGTTACCTGCTTATGAAGGATTGAGGGTCAAGGCCAGCTGGGCAAAATTTCATGAGACCCCATCTCAAACAGTGGCTGGGTATAGTGTCATACACTTGTCACTCCAGCTGCATGGGGAAGCACAAATAGGAAGACCATAGTCCAGGGTGGCCTGGGCATAAGAGTGAGACCCTAGTTACAAAATGCCTGAAGCAGAAAGGCTCATGATAGAGAGCCTGCCAGGCAAATGCAAGACCCTGAGTTCAAACCTCACTACTGCAAAAAGAAAAAGACAGGAGAGGTATTAATAGAATAGGTCAGAGAGTCTGTGAGTGTATGTTGGTAGGTGCTGCAGAGGAGAGTTTCATCTGGCACTTTTAGCTCTGGGTGCCCTGTTGGTAGAGCTCAGGAAGTAAAATACTGCTATCGTAAGAATCAGCTCAGTGTCATTAGTGTCTTTGCAACTCCACAGTAGTTAATATCCAGGGGCACACTTCCCTTCTGTATCCAGCATGGGCGATGCCTTCTTGAATAAATGGGAATACTGTCTATAACTGAGTTGTTTTCAAATTAGACCATTGGTAGTAGTGCCACTAAATGTTGAAAAGTTGCTGTGCTTTATTTGTACTATGTAAAGTAGCCTTTTAAAGTAAGTGTCAGGGAATTTGAAGCTTTAGAAATAAACTCCTCTGTAAAAATAAGTTTCTCCCTGAGCTATTAGTACCATAGCATGATAACTCATATTACTAAGATACTCAGTCAACAGTTATTTATTGAACATTTGGGTATATATTACTCAAATAGAAGAAATTACTTCTAAGAAGTAGGTTTCTATAGGGGCTAGAAATGAGCATTTCCAATAATAAACTTGACCCATTTTAGCTTTCAAAGATGCTACCAAAGAAGCTAAATTTTAAGAGAAAATACTTGGGGCTATAATTGATACCCTCCTAATGTGTAATACCCCTTTTGATGGTCTATATTACAAATTGGGATGATAATAGCTATCTCTTAAATGGACATTTTGTGTTAATAGCTATCTGAGGCCAATTACAATTTTGCTAATCAAGTCTATTTTTTAAAAGTGCCAAGTCCCCTTCCCCCACCAAAAGAAGTGTCATATCCTTGATGCTGTTTGTTTCAGAATTAGGGTTACAAGTTAGACTTGGAGTCTAATTAAAACCAAAAATGATGGTAGAATAGGTTTAAAAGTTCAAAGGTATCCTTTAAGATGATCAGTAAGCTTTAGTATAATTCTGTTTAAAAAAAACATTTTTAATTATGTAAGCGGAGATTATAGATGTAACTATATAATGAAAATATTTTATTTCTTTGGAAAGATTCTGGCCAATTTTTGTTTTCTTTTTCTTTTTGTAAGCTTTTGGCATTTGTCTCAGTTGTCCTCTCTTTGACCTTGAGCAAAGGCTTCTGCAGATGTTGACTCTTGCTGTTCTGCCTTCTGCAGTGTCAGATGTCTGTTTTGGTGCTTGTTGAGGTAAAATGTTATTGATTTTGTGTCCTTGGTTGCTTTTTGTTTCGCAGACACAAGCTCCTGCGTCAGAAGGGCCTTGCACTGAAGCCAGGGATGCTGTTAAGGTTCTCCCATTTTCCATGTTAACACCATTGCCTGATGTCTCTCATCCCCCCTCACAGTTTCCCCTCTTCCCTTTCAGTCAGCCATCACAGTCATCCTTGTTTTTCTCCATGACATGAATCTGCCATCAGTTAATTTGGGTTTCCACTGTTTTTATTTATTTATACATTTTTGTTTTCCCTCATCCATCTTTTTATTTTGTATAGAGTTCACATGAGACTCTGAATGTAGTGGAGGAGAAGAAGCGGGCAGAGGTTGGGAAAGACGAAAGAGTAATCACAGAAGAAATGAATGGTAAAGAGATATCACCTGGGAGTGGTCCTGGGGAGAATCGTAAGGTGGAGCCTGTGACACAAAAAGACTCCACCTCCCTGTCTTCTGAGAGCAGCAGCAGCAGTGAGAGTGAGGAGGAAAATGTGGGAGAGTACCAGCCCCACCACCGTGTGACAGAAGGCACCATAAGGGAAGAGCAGGAGGAGTGTGAAGAAGAGATGGAGGAAGAGCCCAGCCAAGCAGTCAAGGTAGTAGAGAGGGAGGCTCTGGTGCCCGAAGCCAGCCCAAACAGACATGCTGGTGCCAGTGTAAACACAGTAGGAATGATGGCCCAGGAAAATGTAGTTGCCCAGAAGATCTCCACAGAGAAGAGAGTAAACGAAGGCACTGTTAAGCAAGGCATGAGAGAAGAAACAGAGGAAGAGCAACATAAAGTTAACGGAGAGGTGTCTCATGTTGACATTGATGTTTTGCCACAAGTTATTTGTTGTTCAGAGGTAAATTGAGAGTCCCAAGCCAGAGCTACACTGTAAAGCTCTTCTCAGGTGGGAAGTACCTGCCTTTCTTCTCCACCTGTCCTCCCAGTTTTCCTTCAGCTTTTTCAACAAGAATCTGATTTTTTTCTTTCTCATGGGAAGAAGGGGGAAAGCAATGCTTTGTAAATTTTCTGCCAGCTCTGTTCATGGTTTCTGGCTTCTTTACTGCAACTGGATCACCTGTAGGGCAAACTTTCCTACAACCACTACATAAATTTTTCTTTCCATTTCATATATAAATTTTTCTTTGCATGTTTTGGCTGTTACCAGCTCTTCTGTCTTTATTTGCACTGCTTCCTCACACTGAATGCCTTTTTCCTTGATTTAATTAGCAAAATGTTTATGTACTGTTGAAAAAAATGGTCAATGTGAGTGTGTGCTCCTCTTGTCATGATTGGATTTGACTTTTTGGCTCATTCTGTCACTCTTCAACTAAAGATTTTTAGATCTGACAGCAGGCTTTAATTATCATGATGCTCTGAAGGCAGCATCCGGCAGTAATGAGAGCATTATTTCTTGAGTGCTGCTGTGATTTCTCTTTTTAAATTTCAGTGATTGTGTGATTTGGTAAAGAGCCTTTTCCTTTCTTTCTAGGTAGACAGAGCTAAATGCTCAATAGGAGGGTGACCTTCAGTCAATTCCAGACTGTTTGTAATTTAATGATACGTTTTGTGGATTATCTACATTGGATATGAGTTTTTTTCCTTTTCTTTCCATGACAGAGAACTTTTCAGATTCCTCTTAGATTAAGTCCTGGTTATTAGGTACAGTGTCTTTCATTTGAATGTTAGCTAGGTTGAGGGAAGATTAATTTCCATGGAAATGTTTCTTGATTTTAAAACATACATGGTGTAGGGATTTATTCATATTTGCGCTCTCTAATAGTGTGGAAAATCCTGAAGTCACCTTGTTTTGGAATAATTAAATGGACTTTCCCTATTTTACTTTTAAACATTCTATTTTACTTCAGAGAAGACATTCTAGATGAACACTGAACTGTTATTTTCTTCACTTAATATATAGTTTTTCCTCTTTCAATAATTAACCTGTTGGGAATTTTCTGTCAAAGAAAGTAGTATAGTATTTTGTAGGACTATAGTCCTGTAGTGTGAACCTCACCTGTCACGTTTTAAATTGTTCAGAGCATTACACCCATGTACACATTAAGCGTTTTAAAAAGTATTAGGACAATAACCTGCCATCCTCCCCCATGGTACAATATTATTTTAGGAGTGTAATCCATAACTGGCACATGAGCTAGGTAGACTAAGATTTGCTTTTCTCCCCCAAAACTACCATCTTCAGAAGGGATATTTTCAAATGTGATTTTTCTCTTTTCTTTTGTGCATGAGTGTGTGTTTGGATATGTTTTCTCAATTATTTTTGAAGGTTCCTTTAAGCACTTTTACTTCGTTATCTCTAGGATTTATTTTTCCATTCCTTTTCCACCTCAGCCACCAGTGGTAAAAACAGAGATGGTAACAATTTCTGATGCCTCACAAAGGACAGAAATCTCCACCAAGGAAGTCCCCATTGTCCAAACTGAGACCAAAACCATCACATACGAGTCTCCACAGGTACAAAAGCTCAAGACTAGTACTGCTTGAGTTCCTTTTTTGCTTATAGTATGACTTTTCCTATTTTCAGCAGGAAAATTAATATTGATTAATTTTATATATAATACTTTAATGTATATAATCCAGAAGCACTGCATGTTTTAGACAAGTGTAATTGAAAATACACTTTTCAATTACTAAGCAATAGAATCTGAGTTTACTGGGGCAAATAATACGGCACTTTAATAGCCTAACCACTTAATCACCAAATATGTATCTCTGTTTCCTGACACTGACGCAAGAAAATAACGCGAAAATCTAGGCCTTTCTGGCAGTAAGTGAAGAGGAAACTTTCTAAACTTGACTCATATACCTCTGTTCCTTTATGAGAATATTGACCACATCACAGACATAAGAACAATGCCCCACTATGCCCAAGCTTAAGAAATTTGTGTTTATGTGGGATCTACGCTTAAATATGGATTATTTATTTTTACCCACCTGTGCTTTAAAAAAAACCAACTCAGCACTTCTAGCCACTTCTCTGCCTGGCTCTCTAGCTTCTTTTTCTAGCTTCTGCAAATGTTCTTCAGACACATTCTCTAGTTTCCCTTGTAGCTTTCATTCTTCCTCTTCCTCTTCTCTCTACCCACAGGGTTTGCTTCTCTGTGTTCATTTAGGCTTTTGCCTCTCTGTTTTAAATGCCAGCCACTCTCTTAGACTGTAAATTACCACTGCCAACATGCAAAGGACAGATTGATAGCATCATCTGCTGACTGCATAAGTTTTAGAAGGTGCATATTTGATGGGGTGGGGTCTTTTTTTACATGATGGACGTTAAGCATTGCTTTGTATTTTTCCCCCCAACTATTCAAAGATTGACGGTGGTGCTGGTGGTGATTCTGGCACGTTACTGACTGCACAAACCATCACATCTGAGTCTGTGTCAACGACAACAACCACACACATCACCAAGGTAAAGCAGTCCAGGGGAATCCTAGGTAGAAGATGTACATGGCAAGCAGGATCTTTTCTGAATTGTTTCTTTGCTACTATTCACACTTCCAAGTAATACACTGGTGGCGCCAGTAGAATAAAAATGCCTTTATTTGAAGTATCCAAGAAATTAGGCTCCACTGGCAAATGTATTTCAAGCCAGATTACAGTTTTATAAAGTACAGGGGGTAAAAATATGTTATGAATAGCTATATTTAAGGCAGCTACAAGAGCAAAGATAATTTAATAACATTGTAAAATTTCTCTCGTTTGTTTAAGAAATGAGTATGTTGATTTGGGCATTTTCCAAGACCATTCTCTAAATGTTTAACACTACATAAGCAGTTGTTGTCCCTGACTTGGCAGCATCTGTCTCATCTGGAAACTTAAGACATGTAGATACCATGGCCCACTCCAGGCCTACTGAAACCCGGGAATGTTAAAAAGCTTCCAGATGCTTCTGATGCATGCTAAAGTCATCACGTTTCTAACTCAAGTCTTATTTTCCAGTTTTTGCTTCTACTTTTCACATTTGATTAGTGCTTAATGGTCTTAAATATATCCCTTGCACTTTTTTCACTCCATGTTTCAGTAGCAGCAACAAAAAAACAGCCCAAACTTAATGAATTAAAAAAATGCCACATAAATACAGGTGTCACTCATTTTAAACCATAGTCAGCTTCTACAACATTATTTCTCATAGTAAAATGCCATCACTGTGACTAGTGTACAAATTTGTCAGAGTTGTGGATATTGGTTTTATGTTTTACAGGACTGTGTGGTATTTGCTCATTGTCTGTTTTAAGGCAGAGAGTCTCCTAGACCTTTTCCAGTGTGCCCCGGGTGCTCTTAGCTTACACTGAGCTTGTAATATGCCAAGGGTCTCCTTCCCCCAGTCTTTCTCTACACAGTCTTTGTGCAGCTGTGCTCCATGTCCATGTGCACAACTGCATGTAGAAGTGATGGATCAGATCAAACACTTAGTGAAAATCTTGATTTGTCTTCCCTATCTTAAACCAAATCCAACTTGATTTTTTTTATTGCATTAAGCCAAATTAATGAAATTGCTAAATGCATTTGTAGGACTAATCTGAAGCAATCAGAACTATAATATCAAACAAGTTTCCCAAACCTAAATTTTGAATTTCGTATAACTATGAATATAATTATTTCTTCTTTCTACTCTCCTTTTCAAAAATTGACCAACTGGGGGTGAAGAAATGCAAGAAATTGTAACAGACTATCCCAGTGGAATCACTCGAATTAAATAATGGCATCTTCCCCATCTTAATTTCAAATAAATCTTGATAAGTTAATTTTAGGGTTGCTTTCAGTTAGGGGATATTTATGGATGCTATAACCTTAATAATAGAATTCTCTATTGAACTTAAAAATTTAGCAAAGAAAGTTTCTAAAAAATCAGTCTTCCACCATTTGGTGTGCATGGTCTTATGATCAGAAGGTCAAGGTGGTCTCCATCTTTCTTTTCTCTGTGTATACATGCTTTTGTGATTGCTGTTTGTTTGTTTTTTTTTCCATAACCTTTAGACTGTAAAGGGTGGGATATCTGAAACAAGAATTGAGAAACGCATTGTGATCACAGGAGATGCCGATATTGATCATGACCAGGTAAGTAAAGACTTTGGGTTCTAGTTCTGAAAGTAACCTTGTTTGTTTGCTCAGGTTTACATTTGTCATCATGTCACACCGCTGTGTAAACACCTTCTTCTTGTGCCTCCTGGGTGAAGTTCAATTCCTAGGCATGGAATAGAGACACTTGATAGTCTGGGTACAACCTGTCCTTTCAGCTTCAGCACAAAGCATAGATTGCAATTTATCTTCCTCTGGCTTTCCATGCAAAATAATCTGGAGGATTTCTGGTGACCTTTAGGTATTCACATGGGTCTGGTTTAAAGAAAGTCATCAGATAGATTTAAATATGAATGACAGTTTAATGACGCTGGCTTCCAATCAAAACAAGCCACTAAGCTTTCTTAGGCCTGCTTGTAGGAATTTTCCAAGTATTTTATAGCATAAGAAAAGTTGAGCTATTTAATGCTACATATTTTTCCATATTACTATTATTGGGGCAAAAGAGGGAGGAGGAGATAATGTAAGGTGTCCTACAAAGTGATAATTTACATTGTTTCTGAATTTTTTACATCAGAGCCATGCTTCCATTCTAACACGAAGTTTGACAGAATGTATGGCTTTATTTGGGTAATGAATGGAACTGCCACAGAAAGGGAGAGCAGCTTTAATTTTAGACTGCAGTCCAAGTGTTGATGAGAAAAGTTTTCATTTTGTTTTGTTTCTGAGTTAATTTTTAAAAGGAGAACAAGTTCCTTTTACAACAATTGAAAGAAAGGAAAAGAACTGTTCAACGGATCACTTCTGCTGGGGAGTAGTAGCAGATGATAGGGACCCAGCTTTGAGCACAGTAGTGGGCTCAGGAAAGAAAATTTTATAGAAGACTATTGCCTGCTTGAGAAAGGCTGCGTACATGATGTTAGGAAAAATGCCGCTCTCAAAGAAAGCTCACGAGAAAAATCTCACGTCCATAGAGCAAGGTTTAATGGCAGGCCCAAACTGCCAGGCTGGCCGGGGAAAAGATGGCGCAGCCCCGAGCCTGGGCAAGCAGTGGCTTTTATAGAAGGGGGAGGGGAAGGAGGTTAGTACAGGTGCAGTAGTCTATGGTAGGGGTGGGGCTGTCTTAGAGCCTGGGAATTTAAGGGCGGGGCTGCCATTTTGGCTGATTCACAAAATGGCGACATTATTGTTCTATCATTCCCCCATTTTTTCTTTAATAATGATGAGGGTAGGGGCTGAGGATCAGGAATTGGGGCGAAGCATCGATCTCTTTAGCTGCTTCCTGCTGGCAGGGGGCGCTGCATGGGGCAGGATCCTCAGGCTCCTGTGGTGTCCTGGTGGGGCCTTCACAGTAGTTTTCAGGGCGGTTTTGGAGACGTTGGTGTCCCTGGAGGTACAACTGGTTAAACTTTTGATTAGCAAGAGCAGACATGCAGTGTGATACAAGGGAGGAAGCTTAAGAATAGGAGAGCAAGAAACATAGGCATTAGGATGGGCATTGGCCAGGAGAACCACTGTGAAATGTTCTTCCCTAGAGGATTCCAAGAGTCCTCCAACTACAGAGAGAGAAATGGGTGGCCATACATTATCTAAGACCCAAATAGGAATATCAGGAGGAGCAAAAAAAGGTGTCTGTTCAGGGACTACATGCCTAGGGATCTAAATTCTGCAAAATCCTATAACTGCCAGGAAAGCTGTAAGCTGTCTTATGGTATGGAGGTTGGGAAACAGAAGATTGGGTTGATGCATTTATGACTCAGGGAGAAGTCTGTCCCTTTAAGGCCACACCTAGGTAGGTGACCTGTGGGAAGCAGGGGCTGTCAGGATTTAAATGTAACACTCTTGGATAAAAGAGAGCTTTTGCTCATTATTTTATATAAATTGACACCTTTAACCTTTTAAATGTTTGTACCATATTTAGATAAAGTATAACATAACACTGTTACAAGGTGGTCATTTAAGATACATAAGCAAATATGTAAATGAACTCTGATTTAGTAGTACTTAAAGCTTGACAAGATCAGCAGAAAACACAAATAATTTCTTTGATAAAATCTTTCTCTGTAATGGTTTTTTGTAGATGTTACTCAGAGCAGAACAATATTAAGATAACCTTGTTATTTCATAGACATAGAGGATTTGATTTTAGTTTGACATGACACTAAAAATCTTTTAGGGAACTCTTAGATTATATTCAACTTTATCACACACCTAAGCTTTTTATTATGCACTTTTAAAACTTACTTAGACCTTTATATAACATACTAAACCCTTTGATGGCTTGTTTTTAGCCCTCCTATTTGAAACAATCTTTAGGACAAACCCTTCTTTACAAAATCCCTTCTCATCCAAAAAACCATTCCTTTTTCCTTTAACTTCTCAAAAAATACATTTATTACCTATCTATATCCTTTCCAGTTGTTTACTTTGTAACTTGTATTTTAAAATTAACTTTATAAGAATTTTAAATTTATTGTAGGGGCTGGAGCAACTAATTAGTAGCCCTTGTTGTTTTCAGGAATAGGCATAAGGCCTCATGATCCCTCAGGCTTGAGGGGATATTGTTTTAGGTGTGGAAACTGTGAGGGATTTTTGAGTTTTATTTGAATAGGGAGGGCCATCCTGGCTCACCCTACACTCATCTCATCAGTCCACACTGTGGAATCTCTTTGTTCTTGAAGGAGGGGGCAGCAGAGATAGCTGCCTGGGGGGAGGAGAATTTGAGCTTTTAATTGAGATAGTAAATCCCGTCCCAGCAGGGACACTGGTACTATGGGGAAAAAGTGACAGAAGAGGAGGAGATCTCCTCAAGAGCAGGCCAGAGGCCAGGTAAACTAGCACTCGAGGGGCTGGCCAGATTTGCCCTGAACTGATAACTTTTGTCATTGGACCGGGGACCAGGAGAAAAAGGTAAAACAGAGAAATGGGCTCCACTGTCTAGGAGGAAAATGGCCTTTTGTTTTTCTGCCATTATGGCTCTTCATCATTGATGCCAAGAAGTGGAGTGTGGCCAGGAGGCTTGGACCCATCAATCCATAGGAAGGTGGCACCTCGTCTTCTATCTGGTGACGGGGGCACTTAGACCTCCAGTGGTTACCCTTGCAGAGGGCAGGGTCCCGGTTAGGGGCGGGGCTGTCTCCCAGGATGTCCCCCCTTAAGCATTCTCTGCAGAAGTGCCCCTCCTGTCCACCACGGTAGCAAATTCAGGATACAGGCCCCAGTCGGGTGGGGCCCTCTCTGAGACCAGCAATGAGGCCATGGTGTCTCTTTATCTTTTTCTCTCCTGTTAGTAAGGTCCCGGACATACAGACATAGCCATAAATACAGACATGGCTAGCTGTATTACTTGGTTCAATGACTTTTCCTTTCAGCTACAGTCTGAGTTTTTTACAAATATCTGGGACTGACTGTTAGAAATTTATCTTTGAGGAGAACCTCTCTCACCTGTGACTCTGAGTCCACCGTGGTATGCTTTCTGATAGGTTGTTGCTGTAAAGTAAAGTTGTTATTTTACATTGACACCTGACACTCTGGAGAGCAAGTCTCTGAACTGTTCCGGGCCTCAGTTTCCTCACTTGAAGAATGAGGGATCTGGTCTAGGTTAAACTGTGTTTTTTCACTATGAGATGGCTGAAGTGACATTAATGCCACTTATCTTCTTTACCATTTTTTAATTTTTTTTGGTAATGCTGGGGAATTGAACCCAGGGCTTTGCACATGCTGGGCAGACATTTTCCCATTGAGCTACTTCCTCAGCCCCAAATATTATTATTATTTTTTACTTTTCTGTACTGGGCTTGAACTCAGGACTCTACTGCTTGAGCCATATAATCATTTCCAACCTGAGTGGCCTGGGCCCGAACCCATTGCTTTTCCAATGAGATAAGAGTCTGGTCTAGTCACAGAGATAAAGGCTTGAATGTATTTGGGCAACAGTACAGCTGTTTAGATGTTTTTAAATTTCCCTTAGATCTGATAACTGGAAGGGGACATACGATTTGTCCTCTTCCTACCATTGCCTGTTGAAGAGGGAAGCACTCGTTAAGAGGTTCTGAGTATTGGAGTGACTTAGAAGGTAGAAATTTGTATAGGGGACCTCAGTTTACTTTTTTTACTTTTATAGAAAAGGTCTATTGTAATTTAAGGAGCCCTGTGAAAGCCACTTCTCTTGGTCACCCAAGGCATACTGAGGCCAGGCCTCAGTACAAAGCTTCCAACATCTACCAGCCAGAAGACTAGAAGATGCAGGTCCCATCCAGAAAGAACAAAACATTAGGATCCTGTCTTTTAGCTAACAGCAGGCAGCCTCTTTAATAAAGTTAGAGAAGGGCATTCAGAGGGCATTTCAGGCCAGTAACAGTGCCATATGGGACAACTGGTGTTAATATTTGGAGGGAAAAATTTATGCTGAGGCCAAAGGTATAGAAAATTCTAAATGAGAAGTTTAGAGACCACAGTAATGTCTATTTTGTTATTTCTGGAACTATAACCTTGAGCTAATAATTGGCTTACAAGGGCTGGGTCTGATGCCCTGAGGTGTGAGATGGGGCTAGGAGCAGGACTTGTGCAAGGCCACTCCCTCTACACACACCTGGGACAAATGACCCTGACTGCCTAGGCCTGATCCTGCGGCCCGTCGCCCCTCCCCCTTCCTGTGTACTCTGCGCGCGTTTATTCTAGGGGAAGTGACGGTGGGTTTCAGCCATCGCCACTTGTGGCTGGTGGCCCAGGATGTACTGGATCCTCTCTATGGATTTTCTTAGCTATGGCAGGCGTTTTTGCTGTGTCCAGGAGCTGGCATCCTGTGCACAGGTGCACCTGTTTGCTTTCCCTCCTCCCTTTGTGGGGGCGGAGTTGCAGCGTGAGTGTGGCAGCTGCAGGTTTTTGTAAGCACTTTTGTAAAGCAGCTGATTTAAAGTTACTTTAGACTGAGAGGCCTGGCAAACTAGTTGGAATAACTTAAGTCATAAGGTACCATGCTACAGGTTTTTCATGGGAGGCAGGGTCCCAGTAAGCCCAGGGAGGGGAAGGCAGACAGAGACAAAGGACACATGGTGAGACCATGGAGGAGGCAGAAAGGTGCGCTGACATCTTAGGTAGGGAGGGGAAGGCAGAGCCTGGAGGCTTGACACATGCCTGAGGGATTAGCCATCACCTGTGTCTCTAGGTTGCTCCCATTGATTGGTACTGGCAGGCTTTCAGGAAACGAAACCTCCACTCTCCGGTCACCGAATAAATCCGAGGCTTTGTCTCACCCCAGAGGAAGAGAGCATGAGCTCTCCCAGAGCTGGAACCGCATTGAGGCCAGAATTGGCAAGGAGTGGCTTGCTTAACTCCATGATGGGGAATGTTTTTCAGGAAGATAGGAGGAGATAGGTATGGTAAGCAGTGCAAGAAGTTCTGCTTACATGGGGAAGGAGGAGGTTTGGGAGAGGAATTCGCTGATTTAGAAACTGGTTTACAGGCTAATAGAATCTGTGCAGGGGAACAGAAAGTACAGAGTGAGGGTTTGATGCAGAGATAGGGAAAGGATTGGACGTAGGAAAGCTCCTTCTATTTACCAGCACGCTCACAGAGATTGCATAGATCCCTTAAAATATTGGGATTGAAAGTGCCATTAAGTGGCCATTTGGAGGCATTGTCCAATGGATATTGGGGCCAGGCCTGATTACAGAGAAAAATGAGCTTTTGTGGCTTAAGATCAGCTGTTAGGCGGAGGGGCCCAAGGTTGGCCAGGAGACATCCCACTGGGGAGTCTGAAGGAATTTGGGACAGTCCAACTCCCATGGTGAAGGCCTGACCTGAGGAGAGATATGGCGGGTGTCCCCGAAATATTAGGTCCTCAGGAGAGAGAGAGAGAGAGAAATGTGGAAAACAACCCCCCAGAAGGAACATCTTCACTACGGGGGGGGGGGGTGTTTGGAGGGTCCACAGTCCCAAGTGGGGAACTCAGTTCCTGGGACAAGAGTGAGCTGCGACCTAACGCTACGGTTTTCGAGGAAATGAGAGAGACCACAGCTCTGTGTGTGAGGAGGACTCACTGAGGGAGAGTGGACCTTAAGGGAAGATTGGCTGGTGGTGGATGGCGGTTGGAGGCACGCTGGGGTGGAGGAACTTGTGTGAGCTAGTGAGCAAGTGGCGCTTTCTAGGATCAGGGGTCCCCAGTAAAGCAGCTCAGATCCCAGAAGAAAGCCGGGAGAGCAAGGTCAGTGCTGGGAACTCAATGCGATCCCGGGTTTCAGCACCAAATATTAGGAAAAACGCCGCTCTCAAAGAAAGCTCACAAGAAAAAATCTCACGTCCATAGAGCAAAGTTTAATGGCAGGCCCAAACTGCCAGGCTGGCCGGGGAAAAGATGGCGCAGCCCCGAGCCTGGGCGAGCAGTGGCTTTTATAGAAGGGGGAGGGTAAGGAAGTTAGTGCATGCACAGTAGTCTCTGGTAGGGGTGGGGCTGTCTTAGAGCTCGGGAATTTAAGGGCGGGGCTGCCATTTTGGCTGATTCACAAAATGGCAACATTATTCTATCACATGATCATAGAGAAATGGATGTTTTTTATGCCTAAACAGAAAATTAGTCCTCAATATTTTGACTTTTATAAGCATGATTATATTTATATATCTCATAATAATTTTTTTAAATTCCTTCAACGTCATTAAAGGTTAGAGTTTTGCTCTGACCTTAAATGTTAACTTAGGAGTGAGGATGTCTAGGAGATGACTAGTAATGCTTATCATGGAAAATAATTACCCACGTGGAAACCAAGCCTCCTGTTTCCCATAGAGAGGATTTATTCTGCTGCTATCCACTGGGGCAGTCTTGAGGTTTCTCTGACATGAAGGTGGAGCCACCTAGATTCTTAGTTTTTTCTCTGGGACTCATGCTCAACAAGCATTTACTGAATTCTGTGGTGTGCTAGGCAGGAGCTCACCTTCATTGGCATAGTAGAAACACATATTGGGGTGATCTCACAGCCGTTGTTTCTCCATTTCACCTGAAAACTTAAATCTAGCTGGGTGCTGGTGGCTTACACCTGCAATCCTAGCTATTTAGGAAGGAGGCAGAGATCAGGAGGATCACAGCTTGAGGCAAGCCAGGCAAATAGTTGGCGAGACTCTGTCTTGAGAAAACTCATCACAAAAAAGGGCTGGTAGAGCAGTTCAAGAAGTAGGCCCTGAGTTCAAACCCCAGTTTCCCCCCCCCCAAAAAAAAGAAAGAAAAAAGAAAACTTAAATCTAGGTAGTGCTGCTTGAGAAAGGCAAATGTAAATAGCAAATGTAAATAACACAATCTAAAACATAAGCATCACATTGAGATATTCCTCACTTAACAAAAACCATGATGATGCTGTAGCCTGGACTGCTAATGTGAGGATATGTATCACTTTTGTATGATGTGCTTCAGTTATTTTAAAACTGGTCAGATCATCAAATATAAGATGGCATAAACTTTTTTGAGTAAAATAACTGTGGCTTCTCATATGTTACCAGAAGCTCACAGTGGGTTTACTTTTTCCTTAAAGCCTATAATGAAATGATAGAACTATTTAAATTAAATGAGGAAACTGATGCTGATCATGTGTGAGTTTACTATTATTGACAGACACCTTTCTTAGTTCCTTGCCTACATTCAAAGGAATCTTAATAATGGAATAAACCCTTCACCTGACTGAGACAGTGGAAAAGAAATGTCTTGTTTTGGCTCATTGAAGAGGCATTCTTTTATGGAAACTTAGTTGGCAGGTTTCTTTTTCTTTTTTTTTGGCGGGGTGGAGGGTGGAGGGCCCTTGGCCCTTGGTGAGCACTCTGCCACTTGAGCCACACCCCCAGTCCTTTTATGTTTAGTTTGTTCTCACTAATTAGCTGAAGTTGTCTGGATGGAGATCCTCGTATGTCTGCCTCCTGCGTAGCTAGGACCACAGGTGTGCACCACTGGGCCTTGCTTTGCTCTGCCTGCTTGTTGTGCATGCTCCGTTCCATACCAGGGAGGATAAGCTACATTACTTCAGATCTCATGAGTACAAACCTGGGATTCAAAGCCAAGCTGTTCTCCTACATGTATCATCACTTGAAAGGGACTGGAGGAATGGGAAGTTTGAGAATGTGAAAAGCATTCTCTGAAATGAACTCAGCTCCAATCCTCCTGCTTCCTTAAATAAAGAATTAATACCATTTTGGCTTTGAGCTTGAGTTGCAGTTGATGAGTATGCCTGTGTTTTGCCATTCTGAGGTGGAGCTTATTCCTCAACTAACGGCTGTTTTCTCTTCTGAACCTGCCAGGCGCTGGCTCAGGCAATCAGGGAAGCCAAAGAGCAGCACCCTGACATGTCAGTCACAAGAGTGGTAGTGCACAAAGAAACAGAGTTGGCGGAGGAGGGGGAAGAATAAGGTAAGAGAGCCTATGTTTGCAGCCTTTCTTCTGACTATTCTGTTATCCTGAGAAACGTAATTTCATTTTTGGTAACTCTGTTTCCTGTTGTATGTGTGAGGTTTCTTTAGACTTATTTTTACTCTTTTTAGACTATTATTCCCAAGTAATCTGTTCAGGTATATCTGATTATAAACTCTTTGGCCTGTTGGATATGTAAGGTCAATAGTTGCAATATATTTAGGGGCTGCTAACAATTATATTATGTGTTGTTTCCCTCTCTATCAAGCATGTTAGTGTAAGTTCTATTAATGTTTGCAATGACCCTTTGAGGAAAGCTCTGTAACCTCATACTGACAGATTTTTAGTAAGAGGGATCACACAGAAAGGAATTGTATCTTTTAAATCTAGACATTAATTAAAGAATGAACTGTACAGTGTACCTCCACTCAGTACAACAATAAAAAAAGGATGAACCATAAGGAAAAGACTTCCGATTATGTAAAAATTGAAAACTTTAGTTGAGCCAAGGAAAAAAAAAGTAAATGATATATGACAAAGCTTAATATATCTGGCAGAGAAAGGATTATCAATATCCTGAAAATATTAACTCTAATATGTCATTAAGAAGATTTAAGCATTTCAGCTAATGTGGGCAGAGGAGTAAGAGAAATTAAGTGAACAGGGCTGGCAGAGTAGCTCAAGGGGTAGCAAGCATGAAGCCCCAAGTTCACATCCCAGTATTGTCCAAAAAAAAAAGAAGAAAAATGAGCAATGAACAAAAAAGTATCTGGCCTCACTGTTATGTAAATCAATACAAATTAAAAATTCAGTGGACCAGTTTTCACCTGTAAATTTTGTAAAACTTATGGTTTTAACCAGTGATGGGGAGGTTGTAGGAAAAAAGTTAGTTTTCCTATAAGACATTTTGGCAGAATATATCTCAAAACATTTATATTAAACATGCCTATATTTAAACTACTTTTAAGAATTTTTCTTAGAGATATCTACAAAGATTTACCTACAAAGGTGTCTATCACATTTTATGCATGCTAGCAAAAGATCATAGTGGCCAAAACTAGGAGATTAGTTACATGTTGCTTCTGTGTGACGACTAAAGAATTCTTAGTGAAATGAATTTTACTCTTCATAATTACCTATTCACAATTATCTGTTATAGCTTTGAAAGGCAGGTCTTATCACACAGGCTGTATAGTGAGATTACTTTTTAAAAAAGTAATTGGTACATTGATCAATTAATTGGTAGATAATATAAAAATGGCTTGATCATGGAGCACACATCTTCCACCTTGCACTGCAAGGTCACATGCTCTTCTATCCACAGGGACGGAGGGCCTCCACCATTCGCAGCCTCCCCTGAATTTTTACTTTTGCCAGTCTGGTAGCTATGAGATGCTGTATAACTGTGATTGTAATTTCCATTTCCTTCATTAACGTATTTTCATACGCTTATTGGCCATTGATATTTTTCTGTGAAAATATAAAGAACCAGAAAACTCAAAATATTTCTATGATATGTTTATTTGCTTCTTTTACCTGCTTTTGCTTGCTTTCTTTTTCATGCTCTCCCTTTCTCTCTCTGTCTTTTGATTCTTGATAAATTCTGTATATTAATACTTTGCAATTTTATGTGCTGCCTATATCTTCAGGTTTGTAGTGTGTTTTTTTCATTTAATAATATAGTTGAATATGTGAAGCTTTTCCTTTATGGTTTATGTTCTTCCCATATTCTGAGGTATTAAAATATTTTCCTTCTGGAAAGTTCAACATTGTTTTTCATATATCAATCCTTAATTCATCTGAAATTGTCTTTTCTGTATGATGGAAAACATTTGTTTCCTTTATACATAGGCAGCATTTCTGCAGTTTGTTCAAGAACTCATCCTTTGCCCTTCTTATTTGTAGTTTCCTATGTCAAGTTTCTCACATGAAGTGTGTTTCTAGTGCAATTATTTCCACTCAATCCACATGTTTATCCCTGTTCCAGTGCCAGACTATCTTGATTACTGTATCTTTATAAAAGATTTTAACATCTGTAGGATGTGTCCCCATTTTTTTTTTTGTCTTCATTCTTGGCACTTTCTATTCCATATTAATTTCAGAATCAGATTCCTGGTTGTGGGTTTTTGTGGTGCTAGGGATCAAACTCAGGTCCTCACATATACTAGGCAAGTAGTTATCACTGAGCTATATCCTCAAGCCTGTAGTTCTTTAATTTGGAATTGCCTCTACTTGGCATTTCAGTGTGGGGAGTAGTTAGTATAGTTTTATAATATTAAGTCTTCATGAAAAAATGACTTGCCTTTCAGTAAAATTATATAATTTTAAAGCCAGTTGCAGTCTTATAAATCTTACCTAGATACAAATGACTCTATTGATCTTGTATCTAACAACTTTATTCCTTGTACTTTGCTTTATTTATTTTTATTATTGTTGTACTGGGGTACATTTTTTAAAGTTCTTGTAATGCATCATAGTTGAATTCACCCCCTCCATCATCCTCCTTTATCCTCCTCCCTCCATTCCTGGAATAGTTTCAACAGGTGTCATTTTTCCATTTTCATACATGTATACATAATATTTCCACCATATTCACCTCCTACACCCTTTCCTTTTCTCTTCCCACCTCCCACTGGTGTACCAACCCCCAGACAGGACCTGCTTTACCTTCCTGTTCTCCATTTTTGGAAAAAGGCATTTTTATTTGTTTCAGATAGCTATACGGGGAGTTTCATTGTGATATTTCCATATATAAATGTATTATAACCCAAACTGGTTCATCTCCTCTATTTTTCTCCATTCTACCTTTGTTCTTTAGATACTGTTTTCAACACTAGGTACTAAATGGGCTTATAAACAGAAGTTTTTTTTAAATTTTAGAAAATCATGTTCAGTTGCCTGAATAAAAGAACTGTGTTATAGGTGAATGTTGATCTTTTTATTTTTGAAGTGAATTTCCCTGGTGATTTTATGCATGGAAGGGTGAGAATATTCTTACCTATCTATGAGTTAGAAGATTTAGTACTGTGTTTTAATCTTACCAAATAGCAAACTAGATGACCTTAGGCAAGTCAGTGGGATGCTACATTTGCCTGTCTTAACTGAATAGGATCACTTTAAGGATATAGCAAGATAAGTAGAAAAGTGAGTACTATACAAAGGTAAAGTGAGAACACTGGGCATTTTTTTTCCTCCAAATATTATGCATCACTTACTTATTCTTTAATCACTGAAAGAGAAAATTAAAACCTTACTAATATCCTCACCTTCACTTACAGCATTTTATTAAGTTTTTAAATGAATTACATAGGTACTTCATGTTTATTTTTGTAGTGGACACACATATATTTTTATACACACACACACAGCTTTTGAAATTTACCTGCCCAGAGGCTAGCTTTTTATGAGATTCTTTGATAAATGTATTTAGGAAATTAAAGTGTAAATTCACATAAAAAGTGAGCAAACTAGATACATTTGGAAAGATTCATTTATCCATTCAAAAGATATTAACAAATGTTCAAGTATGCTAGAGTGGGCTAGGTATTGAGCATGCTGTGGTAGACAAAATGAGCCTGGCCCCCTTCCTAGAGGAGGCTATGCTCCAGGAAGGGAGGTGTGAATATTAACAATCAACAGAGTATAACTGCAAATTCAACAAGTGCTGTGAAGGAAATAAAGTGTGATGAGAGAACAAATAGGGATTTGAACTACCAAAGTTTAGCCTACTACTTGGGAAACAATCTTGAGTTTGAAGCGTAGAGGAGAAATGGGAATCACCTCAGTATTTCAGTGATTTTAGCATTTCTGCTCCCTATGGGCTGCAGTCCCTCTTGAAAATTTTCCTTTGCTGATGACTGTCAGAGCTAGGAAGTGTGTCCTACCTCAGCTGCCCCTTTGACTGCTCTGCCAGAATCCCACTCAGGTAGCATGTGAGCCAGGGCAAAGAGTAGGACCAGGACAATGTCCGAAAGTCAGAAAAGAAGAACAACTATTTGTGATATATTTGTTTCTCTCCCTTTTTCAAGCAGGTAAAACTCCCCTCCTGACTTTCCCTTGCCCTTTGGGGTAGCACTGAGCTTTTGATCAAAATTGAAAGTAGGGATAGAAGGAACAAACAAAGATGGTCAGAGAACAACCTACAGAGAGAGGAAGAACCTCCCAAGTCTGCCTTTCTCAGCTGATGGTGAGCAGCTATGAGGCAAGGAGGAGCTCAATGCGAACTCTATTAAAAAGAAAACACACACTTCAGATGAGCACTTCACTCAATCTTTATGTTCTTTCAAGGGCTATTCCCTCCTGCTAGTTCATCCCAAATGCATATTTGTGAGCCCTCAAGTGGACACAAAATATTAGCAATCTTGTACCACTGGAATGGTGTTCCCAGTCAGTCCTAATCATGAGGATTGGGGTCCAGGCTTTGGTGATATGATATGTGTAGTCTTAGTCATAAGACAGGAGGGAGCTCATGACTCTGCTTCATTTGGCATCACAGGTACTCTGAACCCAGCCCTCAGATGTGCTCTCAACTCCTGGAGTAATAAGCATTGATGTCGGGCAAAAAGTGAACAGAGAGCCTCCTTTTCATCTGAGAGCAGTGAGCAGTGATGGGATGAGAGGATGGAAGAATAGCTGCTCTTTCATTCACTTGTTTTATCCATTCTTACATTGGTCATTATGCAGATATGTATGGAGTGCTCACTGGTATCAGCTACTGTTTTACTATGGAAGTATCAAATAAATAAAGGCAATAAATTGGTGGTAGCAGAATAGTTTCAAATTTTGTGATAGGTTCTAAACCTGGTATGGTAGGAATGAAAAGGAAATATTCCTAAATCAGAATAGTGTGTCAGAGATGTCTTCTCATGTTAGCATCAAGGTATGTAGAAGTTGTTCTATGAAGAAAGTAGAGAAGGGGGTTATTCCAGGCAATTTCAGGAGCATTGAACCTCATACTGTAGACCAGTCCAAAATCATGAATAGCTGGACCAGAGGGTACT